CTGTTGTATTGCATTTTTATTGTGAGCCGCCCCGATTGATCTCAAAGGAGCGGAGTATAAATAAACTTTATTATTATTATTATTAACTACGGTAAGTAAAATAGTGGAAGATAGGGAGTCTTGTTAATGTCTCATCTACAGGGTTGTCATGAGTTGAGATCGACTTGAGGGTAGTTAACAACAAGTTTGCACACCAGCAAAAACACAAGCATTCATAAGCCAAAGCAAACTTCATTTTTACTTTATGAATTCCTTTACTGTAGTAGGAGTCATTTCTAGAAGAGGTTTTCTTCATCTTACACAGTGGTGTCCTCAGTCTTGGTGTCATCTGGTGGGGGGGTCACTGCCAGGGGGTAAGCCTTCCCCATTCCCTTGCTTGGCTGGCCACCTGTCTGCCCACCTGCCAAGGGCTGCAGAGGGGAACAGCAAGGCAAGGGAGGGAGGCGAGGGAGGTTCACCCCTCCTTTGCCTCTACATGGCTTCATCATGAGGAAGGATCTGTTTGGAAGCAAAACCAAGAGAGCCAGACTCACCTCTCCTTCTATTCCACTGCCTTGGCTTCCTTATCAGGAAGAGAGCCACAACAGCAAAGAAGAAGAGGTGGGTGACAGCAGCAGTACCACCACCCCACAGCGGGAGGAGGGCCCTACCAAGCGTCACCCTTCTTCTTGGGTGTCACCTGGTGGAGTCCACAACCCCACAATCCCTAGTGACACCACTGATCTCACAATAAAAGAAAAGATTCTTTGAAAACAGTGTTTGCCATCTGCAAATGGAGGTGGTGGCAGTGCTCCATCATGCAGGAATGTTTGTAGTCAGCATGTTTGAACTGATTAAATCTGATCAAATCTGTGTGGTGCTAAGATTTGTATGTACTCTTAAGAGCCAACGTGGCATAGTGGTTTGAGTGTTTGACTACAGCTCTGGAGACCAGGATTTGATTCCCTGTTCGGTCATGAAACCTTTTGGGCAACTCACATGCTCTCAGCTCAGGGGAAGGCAATGGCAAGCCTCCTCTGAACAAATCTTGCCAAGAAAACCCCATGATAGGGTTAGTAAAGTAAGTAAAGTAAGTAAACTTTATTTTTTTATGCCCAACTCTTGCCTGGGCAATCAAGGCAGCTAGCAACAGTTTCATATATAAAACAACCCCACAACGAACAACAATAACATAGTAAAACAAGTTATTCCCCCTTTAAAATTACATATGATGGTAATTTTTTAAAAAAAAAATAACTGGCATATTCACCTTAGGATCATCATAAATCTGAAACAACTTGAAGGTACACAACAACAATAACATGTACTCTTTTAATGAATTTTAATATTTTTAATGTTTACTGTTTTAATGTTATAAATTGTTTAATTGCTTTTAAATAATGTTTATATTTATACTTTAATTGTGATTTTGCATTGTTTTCAATAAGTTGTTAGCCACCTTGAATCTCTTTATTGAGAGAAAGGCAGGATGCAAATGAATAAAATCATATTCACCTAAACATTGACAACCCATATATAGAATCTTAGAGCTGGAAGAGACTGTTGCTAATTGCTGAGAGCTCTCCCATCTCACTTGTTACTTATTTTTAAAGTATTTCTTTATATTATATTTTCTTTTATTTATTTTTTATTGAATGTTTTTGGCTTGCTTGTGTACAGTACCAAAGGGCGTAAAGTCTTATTAGGAACAAAGTCAATGAATGCACACAAAAACAAAACACAAAAATTCTTCATTGCTTATAGTTCTAACAACATTGCAGGATCAAGTTTTATTGATTCAAGCTGAATCAAGTTTACACCCAGGAGCTTATCACATACTTAAATAAATTGCCTTACTTGATCTGCTTTAAAATTTAAATCGGGCAGCATTCTGATATTATCAGAAGGATTTAGCCACTGAATCTGCCGCCCCAGTCCATCCCGGGTCCATCCTTGTTCAAAGGGTTCTCTGGCTGCCATTTTCTCAATCTGGTTTCAAAAAGAGTCTCGCTGAGCATCCCTGTGAATGAGGATGGACCCAGGATGGATCCAAGTGACTGGTTCAGCAGCTAAATCCTTCTGATAATATCAGGATGCTGCCTGATTTAAATTTTAAACCAGATCAGGTAAGGCAATTTATTTAAGTATGCAATAAGCTCCTCAGTGTTTAAAAGGCATTTGATTTAACTATATGAATACAAATCTAATTAATTTGATAGGCACACTTTCCAGTGGTTCCCAAAGTGTGGTCTTCCAGATGTCTTGGACTTCACATCCCAAAATTCCTGATTGTTGGCCAAGCTGGCTGGAGCTTCTGGGAACTGAAGTTCAAAACATCTGAAGGGCCAAAGTTTGGAAACCACTGCTTTATACAATAAAACTGAAGCACACATACAATTGAGGATTCTTCCAAAACATGGGAGTAAAAAATAAAATGTAGATATTAGGCTATTACTGATTAAAAACATGCTACTTAATGCTGGTTAGAATATTATTGTTCTGCATGTGTACAAGACAGAAATGTAGTTTCAAATGCATTAGTATCATGTTTTTGAATTGATAAATGGTAGTGTGCATGGACATTGGATAAATAATCCCATCTAAATTTCCTTACATTTCTGTGTCACCTATGATTAGATAGCTTGCATTTGAACATCATTTGTAGTGTTTATTGACTCTTTCCCCTCAGAATTGTACACATTTTGGGAATGGCTTTTTAAAACAACATATTAACCTCCCATGTCCTTGGCTGATTGAACAGTGTCTCTTGGGTCACTCTTAGCAACCATGGAATGCCTCTCTTATACGTTCCCTCCTGTTTTTCTGATGCACTGCCATGGTTTTTTATTTCCTTGCTATCCACTCTGACAAACAGAGAAGATCTGACAAAACCCATGTCCATTTGACCAATGGTGAATCAGTTTTGTTTTTCCTGCCTTCTCATTTTAATTAAAGTCCAACCCTGGGGATTGTGTTAGTAAAAGTGCTTCTCCACCTCAGATTCACTGGCATTTAGAGAAGGATGTTCAGATGAAACTGGTGTGGGTTTCTCTTTGACCATGTCAGTTTTACCAAAGGTCATGGAAGAGGAATGTGAAAGTGGTTGTGCTGCTTGCAAAATAATTCTGAAAGATTTACAGAGAGACTTCCACCAACCAGGTCTAGTTCCAGCATATTGTGGGCCATCATCCAGGAAAGCATGTGGAGGAACTGGCATAAAAATAAGTTGCAAAGAACTCTTTAATTAAATCATGATGAAAGAGACAATCTAACAGTCTGGAAGTCAGTGTATACACTAGGTCATTAGTTCTTAGACAATCTGATGTTGACAAGTCTTCAGGAAGGTATTCTGGAGGCAGCTGCTGTTTATCTTTCCTGTTGTAGGCAGGCAGACACAGTTACAATAAAATACCATTTTCCCCACTCAAGGTTTATTGCATTTACTGCAGGCATGCTGGTAAGACCTATCACTGAAAATCTGTATTTCTCCAGCCTTCTTTCACTACCTTCCCAATGTTGCTGCATTTCAAAAATTCCAAGCTAGTGAGAGGACAGAGTGGAAAAGTGGGGAGCAGATGTAAGTAGACTTTGTAAAAAGGAGCTTCTTTGTCAGAGGCTTTGATAACCGAGGTATGCCTGTATAAAAGGTCTGAATCAGCTCCCCCTGACAGTAAGCACTTTAAGCTAACATATGCTGGTATTTTGTGGTCCCACATTTCCCCTTTAGTCCTATCCACCCCTGGAATGCATCCCCTAAGATGCATTTGGTCCTTAGGCTGAAAGAGGTTCCTCATCCTTGCTATAAAATGTACTTTGTATTTTGAGAAAGATTATGGTCAGTCAGCCATTGGGCAAAAGCATGGGAAAGAAAGGAATAATGTGTTCTTTGAACCAGGTCAAAATCTATCCTGAGTTCATGTTGAGGAAATAATTCTGATCTGTGGAGTGCCTTAAATCCATGACTCAGTCTCAGCCCAACCCATGTCCATCAGCATAATTTATTTGCTTGTGACCAGTAGTAATCGTAAGACAGGAAAATAAGTTTTAGACTTTCAGTACAACAAACAACATAAAATGCAGAAGCATAGAACTAGCCATAAAGAGTATGGCGTAAAATAAAAATTTACATTGGCATGAACCCTGGCTGATCCCAGCCTGAGCAGACTCATTGAATCAATTGCTGAATGGTAATTCAACACTTGTGCAAATCCCACTGATTCAACAGGTCTTTTGCAGATGAAAATAGCAGTTGAATTTAGGCCATTACCATGCAAAAATAACATGCTTGTCCAACACTAATGCAGCACTAATCCTATATATAGCTGCTCAAAGTTAGGTCCAGGTCTAGTCCTGTAAGTGACTATAGGACTGCAGCCTGTTTTGTACATCAAAAGTATTTCTAACATTTCTGTCAATCTATAGAGTCTTACATCCATCAGTGACAAAGTACACAGAGAAGACATTAATAAATCTATTGTCACCGGATCCAAAATATGAACTCCTGGATTCCTTGCAATATCCCCAAATGTGTTGAGTGTACCACTTAATTTGTGGTTGGATATGCTTGATGACTGAAGCAACAGTAGTTTTGTATTCTGTATACCAGTCATATGCAGTTGTTTGGTGGGAATAGATACTACAGTTAAATGTGTACCTGCAAAATCCTTTGGAGTATGCATACACTGAGAGTCAGCACAATATACCGTAGTGGTTTGAGTGTTGGACTAGGAGTCTGGGAGACTAAGGTTCATATATGTGCTTGGCCATGGAAACCCACTGGATGGGCAAGCCACACTCTCTCAGCTTCAGAGGAAGTCAGAACAACAAATGAATATATAAGCAAGTAATATTTAGAACAGCCCTTCAAAGAAAGCAGTGTAACCCCTGAATCTGTAGCACAAATATTTAATCGGCATCATAACTGTAAAAATAATCCGAACACAAAAGGATCTCATAACATTTTTGAGACTAATGTTGACAATGAGTGTACGAAAGCTTATGCTACAAACTTCTTTCTCTAAGTTATTACTAGTCTCAAAGGTGCTACAAGGTCCTTTTGTATAATGAAACAGGCTATGTAATATGAAGTCACTCTATAGTTTTAAGTTTAAACGTATAGATAGATTTTATTGGAAGTGAGTAAAAGCTACAGATTTATTATCACTTAAAAAAAAAGTTACCCATGTAAATCTTCCACACATCACCAATCAGAAGAAAAAGGCATTTCCCCCCTTGACACTGAATGCTGTAAAAACAGTTAATATACTTGGGCTTCTTGTAACATCTGCTTTAAAAAAGAGACACAGCTACTGTTTTTTCTTAATAAGGCATGTAGCAGTATCATGTCTTGTATCTGGCAGGAGGTGCAAACTATTAAATGAGTGGATAGTTGTAGCCCACTGTGGTGATATCACAGGGTGAAGCCATAGTATTGCTTTGCTCATTGAAGTGAACCCGGTAGGTGGGGAGTGCTGCCATAATAATTCTCCCTGGGCTTTGCCAATAAACCTTCCTTGGAATAAATCATTTTAAAGCTGAAAGTTATGTTTAAGCTTGACTGCTTAAATGAAATAGATGTTCTATAAAATGTGCTAGCAATAAACGACTAAGATAAATTGGGAGAGCACATTCCAAAGGAGTGGCAAGCATGCGGGTAACTGAGGGGCTCTCCATTCAGTACAAGATGAACCAAAAACAACTGCAATAAAATTGAGTTGCGAGCTAGAGGAAGAGAGCCAGCATGGTGTAGTGTTTGAGCATTGGACTACAACTCTCGAGACCAGAGTTTGATTCCCTGCTCAGTCATGAAACATACTGAGTGACCTTGGGCAAGTCACATGCTCTCGGCCTCAGAGGAAGGCAATGGCAAACTTCCTCTGAACAAATCTTGCCAAGGAAACCCCATGATAGGTTTGCCTTAGAGTTGCTATGAATCAGAAATGACTTGAAGGCACACAACAACAACAACAACAACAAC